AAATTTGGGAGCGCTGAGATTCTCCTGGGGGTGGGGGGGGGGAGGCGGTATCAGCCTCGAATACAACTGAGAAGTTGTGAATGAAATAAAAAGATAGCGGTAGAGAAATAGAGAGAGAGAGAGAGAGAGAGAGAGAGAGAGAGAGGCAGAGAAAGAGAGAGAAAGAGAGAGAGAGAGAGAGAGAGAGGGAGGGAGGGAGAAAGAGAGATAGAGAGTGAAATTTATCATTTCCAGAGAAACAACAACAACAACAAACAACCAAACAAAAAACTTAGGCAGTAATGCAGAGGCCAGGTATTATCGGTGTAGCCTGATCCCTTACCCGACCGGTATTGTTTACTCAGAGGGAACTTATATGGAACTTCCGGGAAGGCTAACCCCGGTCAACAAATTCCAGTTCAAGTCCAATATGTCTGCCGAAAGATGCAATGTCGCAGCTAAGCAGCACAACATAATTACGTTAGTCGGACGAACGGAAAGAAGAATAAGACGTGTATCTTGTCTAGAGCAGGGTTATCACTGCAATGACAAATGGATATTACGTAGATGATTACGGGGACAGATATGACTTTGTGACCTTGTCCAGCTTGCTGGATATGAGAAGCAGCCTAGAGCTGCCCGGCGTGATGCTGACCACATCACCCATCTTGTGCCCCATTGGTCTATAAAATATAGGTCTAGCCCTATATGCCCTATACGTCTCAGCATTTGAGTGCGGTTGGTAAGACTGTTATCTGACGTTTGTAATAATGTTTAGTTTCATTTATTTGTACTCCAGGTTTTAGATCCATATAGGAAATCTTGTCTTTCGGGTGATTTATATATTGTGATCTTGGTGTTAGAGACAACGTTTTTGATTTTATTAGATGTTGTAGGGCATAGTGACAGCTATGGGGAAGGTAATATTAAGACAAATGACAAACATAACACTTTAAAGTGATAAAAAAAAATACACACTTAGCCGCCACCATAATACGACATGCTTGCTATGGAGCATTGGGTCTATTCTCTTTACCCCCACCCCTACCTTTACGGGGTGTCATACACCAAACGGGGAGACTTTAGTTCCTGATATCAGCTCAAATAAAGTTACATACTTTTGAAACTTTCAGTTAGGGTGTAACTTGTGTTTAGGAAGGTAGTCTTAGAAGATGAGCACAAAGAAGGATCTGGAATGTCATCAGGAAATGGACAGGACTAAGTTATCATATACGTTTTTGCAAGATATACACAGATGGCAGATTTTGTGTGAAAGTGCTTCTATCGATACATCTCCATGACCCTAAGGGGTCAAAGTTTACTTTATGTTATGTTTAGGGACATCGCTGTCCTACCTCCATCCTCCATCGAATCCTTGAAAGGCGCCAGCAAACACGGATGATATCACAATACCAATAGTAATGAAGAGCTGATTCATGGTGATGAGAAGTCCTCTGATTGAAATGGGAGCACACTCCGAGATGTAAACAGGAACAACAGAGGACACAAAGCCTGTGGAACAGTTGGGAACTGAGATAGGCTGGTGATCACAATCGTGTAGCAATAAACAAACACAACATTTTTTATTATTTCGCTCATCGGAGACATGACCAGCTAAGTTTATTTTCCTCATTTATGCTTTGTTAAGTAACTCATTATAGGCGGATTCCGTGGCTTAGTCGTTGCGAGTCCGACTCGTAATTCCAACATACCGCGATCGAAACACACTGCTGGTTGCTTGGAATTTTATCATGGTATAGGACGTCGCATGTCGACCCAGCCTAAAATGGGTACTAGGATGGGCTGTCCTGGGGAAGTAAAGACAGCGGGCGCAATGCTAACCACATTACCCAACTAGTGCCGATTGGTCTGTAAAAATGTGGGTGCTCTTCCAATATGCCCTATGCGCCTAAAGGCGTGAGAAAGGATCGGATTTAAAAAAAAAATTAACTTATGATAAGTTGCTGTATTATTCGATTACTTCATCTCCTTTTCTTCGTCCTTGTCTTTATCGTCATAATCGCCACCATCCAATACTATCTTGTTGTTGTTTTTGTTGTTGTTGTTGTTGTTCTTTTTCTTTTTCTTCTTCTACTTCTGCTTCTTTGCTTCTTCTTCTCCTTCTTTTATTACTAAAACAACAAAGACAACAGCAACAACAACAACAACAAAACCTATACAACTATTGCTGCTGCTACTACTACCTTTACTACTATTGCTACTACAACTATCGCTAAAACAACTGATAATGCTGCTACTTCTGTGACTACTACAACCACCACCGCTACTGCTTTCTATTCTACTACTTCTATCACTGCTGCCACTACATCAATTATGACCTTCTCCCTCCCGCCCCTCCCCCTTTACACTCATAAATTTTCAATTTACTTGTTCTTATTATTACTTTTGTTAGCATTATTATATTAGTATTATTATTATTATTCTAACAACGAACGCCATGAAGTACTCGTCCACCCTAATACAAACACAGAGAAACCAGCACGCCGTGTAAGGACACTACCTATAGCAGCTCCTACAATGAACCTGCCCAAAATGATCATCTCCGGTCCAGCAGCAACACCCATGCAGACGCCACCTATGGTGAATATCACCGCAGAGACCATAATGGTTCCCTGAAAATAGAGGTACATGCGCAGACAGACCTTTATGTGTACTTCCGTTCCAATTTGTAGCCAACATTCAATGCAAGCATGCTCATAACATATATAAATGTTTTATAGGAGGAAGATAAACATCTACTACACATAAGAGGTCTACCTTACAGGCGTATAGGCCAGGAGGGACAATCAGGAGATTAGCGTGATTCTTATGAAACACAAATAGAGACAGTGACATTATAATTACGCGCGAGGACTTAACGCACGAGACGAAGAGTTGTAGAACTGAACTTGAGTCTGTGCTCTGGCCCTGGAGCAAGAGCGTAAACGAGTAAATGAATGAGAACAGAAAGACTCAATGTATCCTAACAGCCCACATAGGCCGTGGAATGTGGCCAGATGTGGTCAAAATGAACGGCAGCAAGAGCTGGGTTAGTCTGAGATTCTGCATGAAGCGAAGCAGCCCAGAGATTGTCTACAAACGTTCGAATGCATGAAGCCATGCTATGCATGATTTACTTGACTTCACTGATTGCCCGTCACAACCCTAGACTAGTGATCAGTGACAGAAGACTGTCTATGGCAGGGGTTCTCAACCTGCTGGTCGCGACCTTTTTTTTTTTGGGAGGTCGAACGACCCTTTCACATGGGTCACCTAAGCTCATCGGAAAATACATATTCATTGGAGTTATGACGTAAAATAGTTCTTTGGGGGTCGCCACAACAAAAGGAACCACATGAAAAGGTCCCGGCATTAGGAAGGTCACTGATCTAGGATTTCATCTTTGACGTAATGTTTCAAAAGCAAGGCTTGAGTAATAAAATCTCAGCTGAACAAATACAACAAATAAATAAGTAAAATGCTATAAAGACAAGTTATACTTTCAACAGTTTCAGATTTCAAAAATAAATAAATAAGAATGCTTCAAATAGGCCACATTTACTTTCGTTTCAGTTAGAAGACAAAGACAATATTATAAACAAAGACTATGTTTTAGCTAAAATGCAAACAAAATGCTACAAACAGAGCCATACTTTGGCGGGAATACACAGAAAATGTTTTAAACACAGACCATGTTTCAGCTAGACACAAAGAAAATATTGTAAACACTTATTATTCTCCAAACAAATTACAATGAAAAAAGTATAAACATAGACCAAGTTTCAGCTAGAATACAGAGGAAATGTCATAAACACTTATTATTATTAACATACAAGGACAATTTTATAAACACTTATCATTCTTCAGCTAAAATACTAAAACATTTATAAACACTTTTCATTCTTCAGCTAAAATACAAAGAACATGCTGTAAACACATCATTCTTCAGCTTAAATACAAAGAACATTTTGTAAACACTTATCATTTTTCAGCTAAAATACAAAGAACATTTCTTCAACACTTATTATTCTTCAGCTAAAATACAAAGAACATGCTGTAAACACATCATTCTTCAGCTAAAATGCACAGAAAATATTAGAAACACAGACATGTATTAACTACAGACCTTACGTCCGATAGCATCAGCGACTATGCCAGAAAATAAAGAGAAGATGGCTGCAGATCCTACTGTGGATGCCACGATGAGCTGGTGCATGCCGCTTGTGAGGCCGAACTCATCGTTGATCAGAATTATAGCGCCACTTATAATCCCTGTTTTGTAAACAAATCTACAGTTAATCTGATTGCTGATTTGCTGATTTAAGAATCGACGACATAGTCCAACGGGCATACCCACTGGTGCTCTGTCTTCAGGTGTAGATGCTAACTGTTCCCGTAGCTCACTGATTATAAACTCGTCGTTATCTTCCTCCCATACGCTCTCCTTGTCGGATCCATACCTAATTCATCTTTCACACAATCTTACACATGTTATTTAATCTAAACTCGTGTATTCTGTCAGCATTCGTTCACAAACCGCCTTCAGAATATCCGTTTTGACCAGTACGGGTCTTCATGTAGCTATCACTTTTGTAGCCAGAGAATTCGCTCTTTCATATCCTCGAACTCCTGTGTGTGCTGTACCGTATATCTGCGTCCTGGTAACACTGACGAGTCGATTCTTTGATTTCCACTCAGGCCACATTAATTACCACAATACTCGATATACCTGTCCTTTCAAAAGGTAAAGTGTTTAGATGTGAACCAGCGTCGTTGCACACGGTTATAAACTATAGGTGTTCTGCCACCAGTCCGGACAGCTGATAAGAAACTGTCCGCCCGTGTCGCCCTTGTCCGCACGAAACTCCGTAGCTACAGCGACGTTCGTCCACTTACCCCAGAGTGTTAACACTGGTACCCATTTCCTAGAGCATGGTGAGCCCCAGGAACCATCCGTTTTCGAACACCTGCCGAGGGCTGCAGTCAGTAGTAGCTGGATTAAAAGCGAGTCACCTATCGACTGCTCTAACGGGGCCCCTTATTTATACGGACACAGTTATGTATTTTTTAATTCTAACTTTTTTTTCTCGGTTTTAACAAATGCCAGTGAAATTTGAGCTACTACAAACATGGAACGAACGTTAAATACTTTCAGAAACAATTATCTAAGGAAATTGTTGAACATTATATGGCTTGACTTCAAGACAGGCAAATATGAAAGATCTAGACATTCACTTGTATAGACATTTATAAAAGAAAAAGATGACAATCTAATGTGTCCATCATGAAGAAAAGCGGACACAGAATCACTCAACAGGAAGTCGAATGAGAACAAATGGACAGAGGAAAAGAGAATAATTAAAAAAAAAAAAACCGCAAGACGAACGGTGTGGACAGGCTAAATTATCGACCTGAATTTGATCCAGGATATTTAACTTATCGGACAGGATATAACGACATGGAGGTATAGACGGCGAGTCTGAGGTGATCGTCAGCAATACCACGGGATGACGATTATGATGATGATGATGATGATAAGAAGGATAAGCAGTTATAGAAAGTACGTGTAGCGCGGATCAAGCAAGGACGCGTGCTACCTCCTCTCGTATTTACTATATACATAGACATAATATCCAACGGAGCCAGCTTTGAAGCAGTCGACCCAAAAAATCCTGAAAATGACGAAGTTTACTTTCCAGGGGAAGAATTAGATCCACACACAATAAATTAGCTACTATTTGCTGACGATCAGTGCCTGTTCTACGATGAGGGTATGGGGAGTAGACGGCGAGAACATTTGAACATAATAAGTTTAACATGCAGTAGATATCACATGAAAATAAATACTACTGAAACTGAAGTAAGGCAGGTCATCAGAATTCCTATCGGATTGAATAGTACTTATCTCAAGTAAGTTAACGAATTTAAATATCTGGGAAATATATTCTCGGAAGAAGGAAGAATCGTTCGGGAAACAGAAACAAGATAACAGCGAGCCAGTGCACTTATATACCAACTGATACCGTTATTAGGATTTGCTAAGAAACAGATTATAAACAGCATATTCGTACCAATACTGTACTTAGACATTATCAAAGGCTAACCTAAGTAAAATTAACATGTGTGAAATTAGATGCCAGAGAAAAGCCGACAACTAAACCATCCGAGACAAAGTTAGAAATTATATTATCAGACAAACTGTAGAAACAACACCATACAGCAAATTCATTGAGAAACAGAAGATGAAATGGTTTGGTCAGTTTGTAAGAATGCAGCCACAACAACTACCAGTTATCTGAAGTGAAAGCAAGAGGCCGCCCTAGGAGAATATGGATTGATGGCATTAAAGAGCTTCTACGTCGACAGGGAATGACAGTAGCCATAGCTGCCTATGAAGCATTGGATCACAAACTGTTCCTCCCCACAACGCTCAACGACAGAAGTGGAACCTGATGACTATGATGATGACGATATGTAGCAAGACCAGTGGCAAGACTTATACAATTCCTTATGAGCCTTATCATCATCATCATCACCATCACTTAGAAAGTCCCTTACAGAACGTCGTACTCATCGCGGCACTGGCCAATCATTAAGTACCCTGCCAACCTTCCCTGCCTTGTGAACTTCAGACAAATGATACTTACAGTTCATCATCATCATCACAACCAGCAGGTCCCTTCTAGAACGTCGCTCTCGTCAGGGCACGTCTGAAGGTCTCTTTCTCTCCAGCCCTGTCTGCTCTTACAACCAGTGCATCTTCGATGTCTTACAACAAGTGCATCTTCAATGTCTTACACCCAGTGCATCTTCGATGTCTTACACCCAGTGCATCTTCGATGTCTTACACCCAGTGCATCTTCGATGTCTTACAACCAGTGCATCTGCAATGTCCTACAACCAGTGCATCTTCAACGTCCTACAACCAGTGCATCTTCAATGTCCTACAACCAGTGCATCTTCAATGTCCTACAACCAGTGCATCTTCAATGTCCTACAACCAGTGCATCTGCAATTCCTACAACCAGTGCATCTTCAATGTCTTGCATCCGCCTTCTGAGTGGTGTTGTGGACACTGTACCCTCGCTGTTACCTACAGGCCACCACGACGTTTCACAGATCCTAAACAACAGCTAAGCGTTAAGGAAAGGATGCTGTTTATGAGCCAGTTTTCCTCGATGCTCGGATCACGCGTGATGTCGGTGTTTTTCTCGTTCTTAGTCCATTGCATTTTCAGAATATACAAGCAGGAAACCAACAAATACCCACCATTTACACAGAACAAATGAATGACCTTCAATATTCACCCATATTTACGGCACACACACACACACACATACACACACACACACAGTTACAGTTACAGTTACAGACACAAAAGACACCAGTTGCTTGCAGATGAAGAAGAAGCGCCATATGTTCCTTACCGGTGTCGTAGCCGAACAGAAGGCCTCCAAGGGTTGCGCTGATAGTTAAAAAGTAAATTATGCATGGATTTTTTTCTTTTTCACCTTCCGGCATGGCTTCGATTGCACTGATGGGAAAATAAAAATGGTGCAATAAATCTATATACACCGGGCATCTGCTTCAGTCATTAGAGCCTAAACTTTATCCTATTTCTTCTTCTGCGTTCGCTCTAAAAAAAGAATCAGCTGTCATGTTGTTTTGTGGTTTACAGCACGGCTGCGATATCTGCGATTTTCAGCCCAACACAGGACTGATTTAAGCAAAACCCTTAATTAGTCGTTTTTAAAGCGACGCCCGTTAAAGGACAGTTTTAACAGTGATTAGTACCAAACAAAATCTACCACGAACCAAAGTGTCACAGTGCATGATGTGGTGGAAACTTACTAATGAACAGTTCACGAACGGCATGGTTTGTTGTTTGTCTGTCCTAAGTGTCGATGACTTGTCCATGTGTCTGCCAGTAGTGGAGTGGCTTTATTTCTGACAGCATCAGACAGCGCTGGGATGACAGGAAATGAAAATAGCCCTGCCTGGAGTTGTCATCGGAAGAAGATAATTGGATAGGGCAGACATTTTTAATGCGATGAGCCAGAACCATGATAACAATGAGTTTTAAAAAGAGGATAAACATGCAGAAACCGGTTGCGGGAAAACAAGGAAGATATGCTAGTCAACTCGGGCACGGTGAACATGGAGACACTTCGATAGCTGCTGCATGGGTGGACGCAGCAGGAGTGGGTCGGACCAGTGTGCTAGAATGTCGATACGGATAGCAAGTAACAAGAGGAGTGGGATTTATGAGTATGAAGATAAGATGGATAAGAAAACTTATCTTGGCACCAAATCTAGGGCACAACTGACACCCAAGTGACTTGGATTTTAGTGAGTCAGCGAGTCCACTGTTTTTCTATTATTTATATATTTCTTTTATTAAGTAGCGATGAGAAAGTCGAATCTGAATCTATAATAACATAACCCTTGACCCATCAGGCTCTTGCAGGTGTATCGACGGAAACACTAGCACATGAAACCCGCGAGCTTTCTAGTCTTCCGCTTGATGACTAAGTGTATGATAAATTAGTTCTGTCCATTTCTTGATGTTGTCATTCTAGTTTCTTCTTTGCCCTCCTCTTCTTCGACTACACTCCAGTGTTCCTTGTAGCACAGTCTTTGCAATCGAGTCATGTCTCACCACGTTCCCAAACAAGCGTGCGATGTTTCACAACAGCTAAGAGAGGCTCCCGATTTCCTGCAAATTTGTATATTTTGTCTCTGATGTATTTGTTAGTTTGGTGATTTAAAAAACTAAGTCGTAAAATTCATCTATTGCATTTACATTTGAAAGCCTGAATCCTTATTTCCATAGTAAAAGTCCGGATCTCACATGCGTATTGGAAAATTTCCAATACTAGTGATTTGTATATATTGTCCTCACTGCGATGCAGAAGAATAGTTGTTATTTCATGGAAACAAAAGCAATTAGCTAGAAATACTTTTAATAGTTTGGAGACATAAAGAGTTGCTGAAGGAAATAAGAAAGAGTCAAGAGAAATATTTCGTCTTCTTAACGTTTAACATTCTTTGAAAAATCAGACTGGAGGGACAAATCAAAGACAATCGAGCAGGAGGCAGACATTGATACAAACGGGAGAATATCATCAACAGATGGACGAACAGCAGTTTCAGGGAGTAAGCATGCAAGATGAAAGTGAGCGAATAGAGATCCATTGTAGCTAAACTTTGGACACTGCACTGACCGATGGATACTTAAATATTTGTTGTATTCTAGACTCAGCCTTACGGTCTGATATATATGTAATTGTTGTTGTGTTTGTTTTTCGACCTATGCTTGGTTAATATAAATTTATGTAACCTATGGTGTCATTTCAATGGTTTGAGATGAGTTCTGTCCATATTTCCTAGTTGTGGATTTCAGGTTGTACAGAAGACATGGCCGAAGAAGACACCTAGTTTGGGTTGCCTAGTTGGTCATGGTCATATTCCTATTTTCCTTGTTTCCATAGCAAGGCACACATGCCATTTGAAGATAACAGGCTCGATTCTCGGCACGTTAATTATAGCTTTCGTTTTTTTTTTTATGTTGTCTAGTGTGTCCTTCTATCTCTCTACTTCTTTCTATGGGTGCCGATAAGTAAACTGTCGGGTTGTTAATTATATATATGATACTTTACTGAGTGTCAAGTATTTAGCTAAAAACCGACATCAAAGCCATCAAGACATTCCAAATAGCGATCAGTCCCTATTTTCACCAGCAAGCGAAGAGGTTCAATTCCGATGGCACCAGGACTGTCTGACTGTATATCCGTCTTCTTGCCTTTCCCTTGATAGCGAAGCGTCGACCAGATTCCCCAGTAACTCCTCGCAGCGCCATACTTTATAATAAGAAAATACAGAAATCCGCCACTTACCTTTGGACTCCAATGTGTCCTTTTATCAATTACTCTGTGACTGATAATGTTTTAGAATGGCATTTCTGAGCAAAATTGAAAACATAGTGAAAGATAGAAAAGTGTGAGCTTGTACACAAAAATCGATGGCGTTTCAATGTGATATTGTTTCGTCACAGTTCTTTAGCAACAGGTCTGCTTTGAAAATAGGAACCGACAACTCCTGGATAAATTGTTTCTAACTCTCTCTCTCTCTCTCTCTCTCTCTCTCTCTCTCTCTCTCTCTCTCTCTCTCTCTCTCTCTCTCTCTCGCTTTTACTCTCTTCCCCACCCCTCTCTCTTTTTCCTTCTTCCATCTCTCTTATTCTATCCCACTCTCTTGTCTTAGTTTTGCTGTTTACAGATTAGGCTGACACAATGATTTTCATTCCTACCGGCTGCCCAATTATTTTTTTTTTACAGGAAGGGGGCTTAATGGTGCGGAAGTCACAGTTTCCCTGTCCAGATGCTAAAAAAATTTTTTGTGGGGGGAGGGAGGGGGGGGGGGAGGATGTCGAATTTGACGTTCAAAACTGCTAAACGCTCAGGTTTTGGCACACCTTGAAGTTCGTGCTTTGTGCAACTTTTTGGCTGCAAGAGACCCTCTCTAACAATAAAGCCATATGCGATACTACTAGGTGCCAGAAAGTCGAGCCTATATACAGGGGTGGACAACTATACACAGGCGTGGACAACTATACACAGGTGTGGACAACTATACACAGGTGTGTACAACTTTACACAGGGGTGGACAACTATACACAGGAATGAACAACTAAATACAGGAGTGGACAACTATACACAGGCGTGGACAACTATACACAGGCGTGGACAACTATACGCAGGAATGAACAACTAAATACAGAAGTGGACAACTATACACAGGGGTAAACAACTATTCACGGGGGGGGGGGGGGCAACTATACATATGGGTGGACAACTATACACAGGAGTATCATCATCAGGGGTGAACAACTATACACAGGAGTGGACAACCATACACAGGGGTGAACAACTATACACAAGGGTGGACAACTATACAAAGGATTGGACAACTATAAACAGGATTAGACAACAATGCACAGGAGTGGACAACTATACACAGAGGTGGACAACTATACACAGGGGTGGACAGCTATACACAGGGTTGGACAACTATACACAGGGGTGGACAACTATACACAGGGGTGGACAGCTATACACAGGGTTGGACAACTATGCACAGGGGTGGACAACTATACACAGGGGTAGACAACTATACACAGGGGTAGACAACTATATACATCGGAGGACAACTATACACAGGGGTGGACAACTATACACAGGGGTGGACACCATCAAGATATGGACGAACAGCCTTCTGGGAAAATGTACTACTAAAAATTTGAGATAGATTGTTGGAGATAGATTGTAACCAACCTAAGTTGCCGAGACGGCACCCAGTTGATTGATCTCATATACTATAGCGTAGTTTGTCTGTTTGTCCGTTTGTCCAACAATCCACTCATTCACTCACACTTTAAAAAAGTCATGGTCGGTCTTTGTTGACAAATAAAGCGGGGCATAATACAGGTCTTTTTTTTTTTTTTTTCTTCTTCTTCTTCTTTTTCTCGTTCTTCTTCTTCTTCTTCTTCTTCTTCTTCTTCTTCTTCTTCTTCTTCTTCTTCTTCTTCTTCTTCTTCTTCTTCTTCTTCTTCTTCTTCATCCTCTCTTCTTCTTCTTCTTCTTCTTCTTCTTCTTCTTCTTCTTCTTCTTCTTCTTCTTCTTCTTCTTCTTCTTCTTCTTCTTCTTCTTCTTCTTCTTCTTCCTCTTTACGTCCTCTGTTACCGCTTCGAGTGTCGAGGAATATATATATTGTTTCCTGCTTCGTGCTCTTCTGACTGCTTCGACCATAGACACATCGTGATGCTGTAGAGTTTCTCTGATGTTATGTTATATTTCCAACTTGTTCTTGGTCAACCTCTTGCTTTACATCCCTCTTCACTCTTGGTATATGCCTTGTATGGTATAGCATCAGAAGGCATTCTCTTCAAGACACCAAACCATGTTATTTACTGTCTTTGTGATTTAGAATTTGTTATGTGCCCATTTTATCGCTCAGACACCTCATTTCTATCGTTACTAATTTTCTTTTATCTTTTGCTGTGAATGACCACGTCTGGCACTGATAGTATAGGATAGAAATGAATACGCTTTGTATGAGATGTTTCTTTTTGCCGATTGGGATTGTTTTATACTGTAAAAGAGGGGATAGGGGAGGGTGGAGTGGGCTAGTTGTCCCAATACTTGGCCTGCTTTACTGCGTGGGATGTTAATTTCTTCGTCCAATTTACCATCTTTAGTGAATCTTGTTCCAAGATATTTAAACGTATGTGCCTGTTGAATATATGTTTGCTCTAATGCTATATTTAAATTCTGCTTCTCTCTTCTTTTTCACATTTCTTCTGTCTTTCGATGTTGAATTCTCATATTCATTGATTTATTTTCTTCATCAATGGATGTGAGATGTTGTAAATTCATGGCTGTATCTGCAATCAAGGCCTGGTTATCAGCAAATTCGTTAATGTTACTAGTATTTTCGTTCCTGGGCTTGGCATCTCTGCTTAT